TCACTCTGACATGTGGTTGTGGCTCCCTCTAGTCACAGACAGATCTGTGCACACTCGCTGCAGTCACAGACAGATCTGTGCACACTCGCTGGGAAGCTACTATGTGTGCTTTTTAGCACATACAGTACTGTACATTATTATTCAGTCCAGCAATAGCTGCAAAGAAGTGCACAGCAAGAATGGTAAGAAGGAGATTTTGAAGAAAATAACCATTGAATCAAAGAAGGAAACTATAAAAAGCATGAGCATGGTATTTTTGTGTCTGTGATCTGGTTTCAGAGTACAGATAGTGAAGTAGATAATCGCAGCTATTTTTAAGAATAAAGATGTCGTCAACCAGACTTGATGGCACATGCCTGTAATCCCAGCATGTAATATAATCTCATATGCTTGTAATCCCAGCATTGGGAGGCTGAGGCAGGAGGATCATCTTAAGTTCAAGACCAGCGTGATCTACATAATGTTCAAGATGAACTGCACAGTGAGACCCTGTCACAAAAAACCAAAACACAAACAACGAAAAGCTATCCTAGTAGCTGATGTGGAATAACAGTGTTAACCAAGCAAAGGACACAATGCTGGAAGAGGTGGAAAAACAAAACATTTGTTAGTGTGATTAAATGAGGTACAGCTGGCAGGTGATAGAGTTGGTGAAACTATGATCTGTGAAATAGCCAGGAAATCACACAATGATTTACTGCCAGAAAACCTTCTACCAGTGCAACAAGTGATAAATTTAAAGGCAGAGGAGGGCTGGCTGGCCTGATGGTGCACATCTGTAATCCCAGCACCCAGGACATGGAGGCAGGAAGATCACTGCAAGTTCAAGGCCAGCCTGGGCTGCAGTGAGTTCAACCCCAGCCTGAACTACATAGTGAAACCTTATCTCAAAACAGCAGCAGCAGCAACAAAAACAACCAAAATATAAACCCAGTAGAGGGTGCTTTGATAAATTCCCCAACAGAAGTGGCATAACCATTGTGATAAGACATCATGAAGCTTCCAGTTCTGATAAGGCTGCTGCAGAAACCTACAAGAAAAAATTCATAGGATCCATGGAGACACAAGGACATGTTGCTCAGTAAGTGTTCACCTTCGATGAAAAGCACTCTTCTGGGAGAAGATGCCAAACGGAACTCATGTCTCACAGGAGGAAAAGGCACTACAAGGACACAAGCAAAAGCAAGCACCAACCCGAGGATTAAGCCACTGGTACACCATTCCCAAAAGGATAGTTCTTTTCAGATCTTGTCTGGCATACAACCCTGGTTCAGTCTCAGCATTGAAAAAAAAAATTTTTGTTAGGTTGGACCAAAGCAGCGGTTAGTCTAGGGCAGTGGTGGAAAACTGCGGCATGCACGCCACAGTGGCTTGCAGAGCCCTCTGACAGCGCACAAGCCAAGTCAGGCCAGCGTCACCCCCGTATAGAGAGCAGTGCAACCATTCCCCTTCCAGTGAAAAGCTGTTTGTATTACTGAAAGCTCTGTGATTATGTTTTTCTTTTGAGAAAAAGGACGTTAATGTGTGAGTTGTTTTTTTCTAAATTAAAACCTCAGGTTTGATTGCAGTATTGGCACTGTGCAATGAACGAATGGTTTGGGGTTGTAGTTTGGGCACTCAGTCTCTAACAGGTTTGCCCTTACTTAGGGATAGTAGTCTCCTACTCTTAAAGGAAGACTGTCTCAGAACTCCCCAAAGTTCCATGAATTATGTAGTTTACTGGGCTCTTCACCCTGGGTGAGCTCTGCTGTGGTTCCCTCCAGGACTTTCAGCTGGTTCTTTCTCCAGCCGTGGGAAGGTTCCTCACATGTAGCACTGGCAGCACTCTGCTGAGTTTCTCAGAGGATAACTCATACAAATCCTGGGGTTCTCTTTGTGATGTGTTCTCTATTCTAGCCAGTATGGTCTTCCTAGATTTCAGCTCTGTCTACCCATATCAGAGTCCATCAGGCTCCAATTTGGTCCCCCACTCCCTGCACTTTGCAGGTCAGGAGTAGTTAAGGCAACATCTGCTCCAAGGCCAGGATTTAGAGGCCATGGGTAGTGCATTCTGTAAGATACTTGCAAGCCTATATTTCAGGAAGATGCAAGTGACCTGAGCCAGTTCTTACTGAATGTGTTAAGTAAGTCAGTAAATGGTCAGTAAAGGATGCCTAATTTGCTACCAGCCCACAGATCATTATAGAAGTTGTTCTTCATGACTTGGTATCCTCATCAATGAATCAAATTGCTGATCCCTCTCAGTGGCCAGGGAAAGTTCCCAGGGTAACCAGTGACAACATGGCACAGTACAAGAAAGATTTACTCCCGAAGCAGATGGATCAGAAAGCTAAAGCCTCAAAGAGAGAAAAAAATATGGTGGATAGATAACAACAGGCTACAGAGACTCTCTGAGATAGTCAACTTAGATTCCAAAAATAATACAGTGTGGGGAGTCCCAAATAGAGGGAGATACACCCTCCCAACCCAGGAACAAACTAAGCTGAGAGAAACCAATTAAAAATACAGTCTGGGTGCTACAATTGGAATAGCTACAGTCTCTCGGTGCTGCCGCTTGAATTCACTGCTTGAACTTGCTGCTGCTGCTGTGCTTGAATTGGCATGACCAGGATAGCCCACCAGTTTCAACTCACTGGAAACAGTGAGTCGGCGAACCAAATTGAGAGCAGAGCTGGCAGGAAGCCTGCATTGACCTGCGGTGAGTGCTGGGCGAAAAAACCCTTCCATAGAGAAGGGGAAGCCCCAACAGATGACATTCTGGGACCAGGCAGACTGGCCAGAACAAGGGGCTGCAGTGACTTCAGTCAGCTATTCCTTTCTCAAGCCAGATTGGTGGGAAACGCTTGACCTGGGCCACACCCCGGACTGAGAAGAGCATGGGGTGAAATAATCCAAGCCTTGAAAGAAAATAACCTCCAGACCAGATTGATGTATCCTGCACAATTGTCCCTAGAAATTAATGGAGAAACAAGATGTTTCCAAGATAAAGAGGAACTGGGGGAATTCGCAATCACCAATCCAACTCTACACAGAATACTACAGGACATTCTAAAGAGAGAGAAAAGCACCAGGATTTCAGGAACAGTGGCAGAGAGGCCCCATGAATGGAGCAAAAAGTGAAATGAAGAAGACAAACAGATAACTAATGATGGAAAAAGAGCACAACAGAAATGAAGCAGAGAAGGTTGCATATAATTTCTAATATACATGGCCTAGATGCCTAACTTAAGGGAAAAAAGAGAGAATCACAGGCAGAGTGGATCAAGATGTAGGGTCCACCAAGATGTTCTTTATAGGAAATATAATTAGCCTGAAGAAGGGTATATGGACCAAAATCAAATATGAGAAAACAGAACTCAATGTGATGGAGAACCAGAGAGTAATAGGGGTAACTGGACCAGTATTTATGGATAGGTTGAAAAGACATGCTTTAATAAGTGAAGAAATACAACTAGAGATCAAGTCCAGGAGTGAGAAAGTTCGGAAACACTTAGATAAAAATCAGGTTGCCCCCCCCAATATAAAACTGAGAGTGTTGGGGAAACCCAAAAATACACAGTACATCCTGGGGGAGTGAAAAGGGAAGAATCGTCTTTAAAAAGACATCAGAAGACATTGCTAATAGTGTATCAGGAATTAAAACCCTTATTACTCGCACCACTCTGCTTGGATGGAACTCTTCTGTCTCAGTTTGTATACAAGCACTGGATCTGAGGGCAGAGACACCTGTCTTGAAGATACCAGGATATAGCACACTGGTCATCTTTAATTTCCTGTTAACTTAATCTGGATACCTGTATGACTTACACTGTTGTATCATGACTGATTATAGTTAAATCTGATATGTTTGGTTGCTGCTTATTATTGACAGATTTTATTCAAAACTGTTAGGTTGATGGTATCAAATTTAAGAGTATAGACAACTATACTGAAAATGACAGTGATTCACTATGATACCCATTCTGATTTGATTACTACCTGTTTTTGTAGCTCTACACTATCTACAATATTGTATTTCTATTCTGTTACGTACTGATATATTCAATTATACTTTATCTGAAGATACAGCCAATTCTGTTGATAATAAGAGACAGCACAGTGACCGGCAGTTTTATATGTCTTTTTAGTTTTATGTGTCTATAGGAATATGTTTTGTTCTATCCTGCTTTGTTCTGTTTCTCCCTCTATATAGAAAGGATAGAAATACTTGTTAAGACTCATGCTTGTGTAAAACCTATAAACAGTTTATGAGAACTGATCTTATGACATATGATGAAATGGACAAATACTTTGAAGGAAAAAAAGGGGCACTGCAGTACCCAGTGCTGATTCTGGAGTGTTATGATGTGAAATCCAGCAATACCATTATCTTTGTTCAGAAAGATTTTAATCTGCTATATTTTGTTTGGTCTCAACATAAATGAAGATATGAATAAATGGATACATGTCTAAGTGTATAGGATTGATAGCCATGTTACTTAGTTTTTGTTGGAAAGTTGAACAGAACTGTTTGCAGTCTCCCTGGTTGAATTCCCATTTATATGTTCCACTTTTGTATCTTGAACAATTATTTGTGGGGGGACAATATGTATACATCAACTAGTGATTTCTTACTGTTTATTTTTTTCTTTGAAAGTATGTACTATTTCTGCCCGTTTTCTGTTTTGTTTTGTCTGTTTTGTCTTTCTTTAAATAAAATTTAAAAAAAAAAAAGAAAGCTAAAGCCTCCATTCTCAGATGACTCACCAAAGGTGCCTGAAGAGAGTGGATTGCTAAGTAGTCACTGTGGGCTTTGCTTCTCCATGTGTGGTCCTAGACTCAAAAGAACGCACAAAGAGGACGACTTCTTAGAATAGATCACTGAGCTGTCAGCCAAGCCTCAGCCTATCCCTTTGCTGGTTAATGTTTGAAAAGCTCTGTCCTAGAGCAGATGGTTACACATGCCCTCTAGAGGCTGCCCAGCAACTTACAGGGAGTTTAAAAACATTTTCTCATTTCAGAACCTTTGCACAGAACTGCCGAAATATTGAACATTTAAACCTCAATGGGTGCACAAAAATCACGGACAGGTAAGTCGTGAGGATGAGTGTGGAGAATAACTGTCTGGGGGAGGGCTGGGAAAGAAACACGGTTGAAAATATCTTTAGTGGACCTCCTCTTTTTCAGCACGTGTTATAGCCTTAGCAGATTCTGTTCCAAGCTGAAACACTTGGATCTGACCTCCTGCGTGTCCATTACCAATAGCTCCTTAAAGTGCATCAGGTAGGAGTGCCTGTTGTTTGTGGTCAGGCAAATACCCAAACAGGTGACCAGCGTAGCTTACCTGAAGCCTTCCTCATGGTGCCATTAGAGCAAGGGGTTGGCAGCTTGATGGCTCCTACAGCTGTTGCTCCCTCACAACTGCTTGTGATCTCCTGAATTGAATGTTGGTCATACATTTTCTAGAGGAGGGGACTACAGAGGAGTTTTCCTTTCTTCTCTTCTTAGCGAGGGCTGCCGAAACCTGGAGTACTTGAACCTCTCTTGGTGTGACCAGATCACGAGGGAGGGCATTGAGGCGCTGGTGCGAGGGTGCCGGTGCCTGAAAGCTCTGCTCCTGCGGGGCTGCACGCAGGTACCCAGGCATCCATACTGCTCTTGTCATGTGTGTCAGGGAACTCGCTGTTGCCTGGCTTTCATCCTCCTCTTCTCTGTCTGCTCAGTTAGAAGATGAAGCTCTGAAACACATCCAGAATTACTGCCATGAGCTTGTGAGCCTCAACCTGCAATCCTGCTCGGTAAGGCGTGTCTCTCTGGAGCGTGGCCTGCCCTGTGCCCTCCAACAGGGGTCTGCAGTGGGCCCTGCCCCAGCCCTGTGCATTGAGGTGACTGGCTCACAGCCACATAGCCACAGCTGATTGATCTTCCTAAGTCTCTACATGATCTGTGTTACCACGAGATGAAGGAAAACAAGGAGGCATCATCAATATAAAGCCACTGATATCTCCCCTAAAATGTGAATTTGATCTTGATTTTTTCAGAGTATTGAGGAAGATATTAGATCTGAATGGTTTAAGAGAATATCTCAATTTCTTTCTTTCTTTTTTTTTTTTTTTTTTGTAACTTATAAATTAGGGATGCTGCTGGGCCTGGTGGTAAACATCTATAATTCCAGTTGGCAGGCTGAGACAGGAGGATTACCATGAGTTCAAGCCCAGAGTGGGCTACATAGTAAGTTCAAGGCTAGGCTGAACTGCATAGTAAGACCCTGTTTCAACCCCCACAAATTAAATAAATTGGGGTGATAACATGTCTACTTTTGCAGTGGATAAAATAAGATATGGAAATGCTTTGAAAAACAAAGAGCATATATAAGAGCAAAGTAACATTTTCATTAGGACATCGCCTACAAAAACACTTGGTCCTTCTTCACTAATGTGTAAATGTTGATAAGCAAAAAGGATGCTTGCAGTAGCCCCTGGGAATTTCAAGGGAAGCATAGATTTTTGAGAAAGGTAAGAAAAAGCCCTTGAATTCAGCTTTTAATTAATGAATCTTAAATCTGTAGAGTCCCTGATGGTGAAAGAGAAAATAAACTACCTTCTGGATAGTCCTGACTTTGTGGACCTGGGACTGTTCAAAGACCTCAGACTCTGTAGGGCAGCACTGGCAGGGAACTTAAAGTCTAACATAGATGTGCCTGTTCGTTTCTACATGGAGCAGTATATTTAAGTGAAGATATTATTTTGAATCTTCATTAATAGAATGCTGAGGCATTTACTAATAACTGATTTAATTTTCGTATTGTCTAAGAACTTGAAATATAAATGTACCTATCTATGGTTTATATGGGGACTAAGGCACTAAGCTATAGACATTCGCACATCATTTAGCTCAGCAAGTCTCAAGCTCTACATTTAGCTCATGCTTTATCATCAGGAATTTTTCCTTGACAAAAAAAATCAAATATTTTTAAAAATTGTTAATTTTTTCCACTTTTGTTAGGAATGTTTGCAGTATACAATAAAAATTGTTAATTATTTTTTCCACTTTTGTTAGGAATGTTTGCAGTATACAATAATTACATTCACTGTAGAGGATTGGTAAAATGTACATAGCACATTTCAATTCCCTTTTCCCTTTGTTTCTTAATTCTCCAAAAGTCAAATTTGTATCTAACTCGTGAGAATAGAAAAGGAATCTTAAACTTTTATTTTTCATTAGTAAAACTAGAATATTTTAAAGCTGTACAGCGATAATGCAAGTACATGTCTACCCTCTGCTTTTCCTTAAATTATTAGGAGAAACTAATAGTAACTGTGAACAAAATAAGCAACTAGTATCTCATTTTTCTCCTGCTCCTGTTTGAGTATTGATGTCCTCTAGCATTTTTCCCCGGGCTGTTTCTCCACAGCGCATCACAGATGAGGGTGTTGTGGAGATATGCAGGGGCTGCCGCCAGCTACAGGCCCTCAGCCTTTCTGGGTGCAGCAGCCTGACAGATGCCTCCTTGGCAGCCCTGGGGTTGAACTGCCCACGAATGCAGTGAGTATGTCATGCTTAGCAGGAGAGATCTGGGTGAGCACAGCTGGTGAGAGGGGTGCTGGTGTGACTGAGTGCTTAGCATGTGAAGCCCTGGGTTTGGATTTCACACAGAAAGAGTCACAGAGACAGAAACAGGCAGAGACAAACCAAGCAACCAACCTGGCCAGAAAATAGGTCGAAGTTATTACTGTAAGGGAGTGTTTAACTTTGAAATGTTATTTATGCATTTTTCTCCTTGTAATCATGGGTAACAGACCTTTTTTCACTGCCTACAAACTCTTTAAATTTCATGTTGGGTCACTCAGAATACAGTAAATCTATTTTTTCTTTCTTTCTTTCTTATTGGTACTGGGGATTGAACTCATGATCGCGTGCTTGTAAAGCAGGCACTTATGCCACTGAGCTAAATCCCCAGCCCCTAGTAAATCTGTTTCATAACTTTGTTGAGTAAAAGTTCATCTTCAAATACAAGATATTTATAAAGCATGTGCTGGCATGGCAGGTAGAGTCCTGGGTTTATTGTCTGTGTTCTGGATGAGACTGTTGGTCTGGGCAGGTTGCATTCCTCCCTCAGCCTAAGTTCTGTTCAGTAGGGATGGTTTTTGTACTTCATAATCCTTACTGCTAGAAGCAGAATTGTGTCAAAGAGCGGATAAGCTCAAGAGCATGCATTGTAAATCCTGAGTTTCTGTTGTTAACCAGCTGGTGCTTTTCTGTCCCCTTTGTGCCCGCTTCCCAGAATTTTGGAGGCTGCCCGATGCACCCATTTGACTGATGCAGGCTTTACACTTTTAGCTCGGGTAAGCAATAGGTTTTTAAAATTAAACCAAACTGTCCTCCACCTCCCTAATTCAAAAACTTGGGGCAGCCAGGCATGGTGATACACCTTTAATCCTAGCACTTAAGGGCCAGAATAGCTCAGGTTCCTGCCTGGCACGTGCAAGGTCATGAGATCAATTCCCAGTACAAAAAAAAGAAAAAAAAAATTCTAGCACTTTGTGAGGCTGAGACAGGAGAATCACTGAGTTCAAAGCCAGCATACGCTACACAGTGAGTTTAAGGCCAGTCTGAAATACATAGTGAGACTCTGTCTCAAAAAAAAAAAAAGTTGGGGTCACTTGGAGGTACAAAGAGCTAGCTTCAGAAAACAAGCACAAAGTCATATAGAGCCCTAGGGATATGTTGTGCAGTTGAGCAGAAATCTAGCAAGACCCTGTAGGAGATCCTGGAAAGATATAGACCTCCCTCTCACCTGAGCAGGTGGCACCACCCTCAAAGGAGCCTCTTCTCCAACTGAAGACACCTTTCTCATACAGACCCCGACCTGCCACTCTGCATCCTCCTTTGCCTGGGCTGGCACTCTGCCTCTGCTCCATGCCCAACATTGCCTGTGAACACTGACCACCGCGGCCGCCGGGGCCCTGTAGGGTGCATGCTGGGAGCCTGTGTCCTGGGGGTGCTGCCATACTCCTTTCTGCCGCCCTCCTCCCCTTAATGCAGCCAAGTGCCCTATTCCCATGCCCAGTGGTTAAATTTTCCTGTTGATGTCTAGGAGCCACTGGGGAGTGGTGCACGATTCTCTTTTCAAGTTGAAAAAAGGAAATGTCATTGGGGTAGCCCTGTTCCTACTCCCAGGCTGTCTGTGACTCAGAGGGCACCAGCTCAGAAGTGCTGGTTCACTGGATGCTCCAGGAACAGGGCACACTATTTAATGGTAGAGAATAGAACCCTGGCTGGTACTCAGAGGGACAGAGTGAGTGTCCAGGGTTGCCCTACCCATGGGCTACAAAGCAGCTGTGTCTGGTGGACTCTTTCAGAATTGCCATGACCTGGAGAAGATGGATCTTGAAGAATGCATCCTGGTGAGTGGACTCTCAAGAGCCCTGAAGGGTCCTAATTCACCCAGGGCCACAGACTACCTGCCATGCCAACCCTTTGTGCTTGCAGAGGTGGCAGAGTTAAGGGAACCCTCTAGGATCATGGTGGTGGGATGTGTAAGCTTATAACTGTTTCCCAGTCATCAGACAAAACTATAGCAAATAAATTCAACATAGCTCCTTCATTTGCCTACCATTAAAATGAAAAAAGCCTCCTTTGATTTTTTTCACAGACCTTGAGGGAGGAATAAATAAGCTTGCATGTCCAGTGCTGAGGTGACTGCAGAAAGGAGACTCCAAGAAGCTTTTCTTCCTACTCCCTCCTTGACCCCTGCCCCTAGTCCCCCAGGTCCCCTTGAAGCACCAGAGGTGAGACCAGAGGGCAGCTCTGTGTCTCCAGGAGCAGACAGATTGGCGGGTACTGGGGAAGACAGGTGCTCCCTCCCAGCCAGTGTATTTGAATGAGATTTTCATTTTCTCTCGCACCTTTGAGTCCCATGTTCAGGAGAAGCCAGGGTCAGATACAGAATTAAGGTCTGGTGTAGAAGCCATACTGACAAGGCATGTTTTTCTCCAGATAACCGACAGCACACTCATCCAACTCTCCATTCATTGTCCTAAGCTGCAAGCCCTGGTGAGTCTTTGGAGTTTTTTTTTTTTTTTTTTGTAATATTATTCATCTCTTAAGACTGACAGGGACCTTCTAACTAGCAAAAAATGGTGTGTGTTCTCATTCTTTGAAGGTATCATTATTCTTGGTTTCAAAGATCTACTAGTTGGGCTGGTTTGGGAGCAGGGCATCTGAATGTTACTGCTTTCACTGTGGGGCATTCGTCAGTGGGGATTCATGTTCTGATCACTGCAGTCACATTCACGATCATCTTGTCAGGCAATGACATTACCATGTTAAAATGTATAACCCAACGCAAAAGACTGGGCACATCCTTGTGTTATATTTCACATGTGTACATCTGTAGAAATCTGAATACAGCTGGGTGTGACAAATATGTGCCAGTGATCCCAGCACTCAGAAGGCTGAGGCAGGAGAATTGCTGTGAGTTCAAGACCAAGACCAAGACCCTGTCTCAAGAAGATAAACAGATAAAAACAAAAACAAAAGAAAAAAATCCTGAATATATTCCTGGATGCATATTTTGGATCTGAGGCAGACCTTTCCATACTTCGCACACTATTTCACTGTTCGCCTTGGAGCCTAGGGCAGGGGCAGAGTCACCATCCATCCATTGAGCCAAGCCATGCTTGGGAATGTCCTGTTCCCATTCCCATCTAATCAATGAAGAAACGGAGGCCCCACATTGGGAAGGGACTCAGGTCTCCAGGTCTCTTGGCCTCCCCTGGCTCTGGTTTTTCCACTGCCCTAAGGATGCACACAACACATCTTTCTTCAGGCAGCTTTTGCCTGTCTTCTCTGAAACTTGCTGTCTCTACAGGGGGTGAAATTCTGTAATGTTGGTAAGGCATCATTTGGCCTTGAATTCCTTTCCTCACCAACTTTCTTTCTTCCTACATCCCTTTCTGCATCCTTCTTTCTGCATCTGATCATGGGCGGAGACAAGTGTGGCTTGGCTTTGGATGCCTCTGGAACATTTTGTAAGATTTGGCTCTGATTTCATAGATCAGTCAGAGACACAGCCATATCCAAATTCTCTGTGCAAATGACTGTATTTTCCTCTAAATATTGCAAATACTTTTGTGGTTATAACATTTTTAACCCCTATACTGGTTCAGATCTGGTTCTGTGATTGACAGTGACTGTTGCTCAGATGTGCTTTCTGCCTCTCTTCTCTTTCTTAATGCTTTCTGCTTTATCTCCCCACTCATTTTTCTCCTGAGACCTTCAGCCTCTCAAAAATGTGAAGGAATTTTGGAGCCTCCTGCTTTGTTTTCTCCTTTACTTTCTGCCTGTCCTTTCCCAAGATGCTTTGGACAGGGACCCCCTTCCTTCCTCGGTCTCCACAGGCATCTGCTCACACCGGGTAGCTGAAGGAGGTCACAGGCAACAGTGACGCTTCAGCTGTGCAGGGTGCAGGGGAAGGGTCTACTCCACTGTCAGGCAATGTTTGCAGTTGGACAATGTCCTCCCCTCTGGGGTTTGTGGTAACTGAAAGCCTTGTCCATCTTGTCCTCTATTTTATACAAGCTACAAAATAAGGACACAAGAGCAAAAAAATAAGCTACAGTAAAAACAGAAGTCTAAAGTAAGAGCTCCCTGTCCCTATCGGGACAGAAAAACAGGGAAACTGCAGTTGAAAACTTCGCTTCAAGATCTCAAGGTAGAGAAAAGAAATACTTTGACTGCATTCAGTGTCTGCTGCTCATCTGTTCACTGCACAAACAGTTCTCGAGGACTGCCACATGGCAGGCCCTGCTCTAGGGACTGCAGAGTAAGAGGATTCCTCAGGAAAGACTAGCTTTATCCTGACTGAAGCTTCAGAGGATCCTTGCTGAAGGAGTACTGACAGGCGCTGTGCACTCTGATCATGGCAGTAAGAGCAGAGCTGAGGGCAAATGGCAGTGCAGGTTCTGTGTAGAGCACATGTGTACGGCTGAGGCCCTGGCGACAGAACAGCGCGCGTGACTGTGGGGGGTGGCAGCTTGCGTGGCCTCTACCCTCTGAGTGTGTTGCATAATAACTGCCTGTTCTCTGCAGCCTCCTGTGGGGATGCAGCCCCCAAGGAGCAGCCTGACAGCACCTGAGACGGACCCAGGCCCAGGCTGCTGCAGCCTAGCAGGGCACCTCCCGCCTCAGTCAGAAGAGGCAGTCGGGGGGCTGCATCTGGAACCCGGAAACGATTCATCCTGTACTGAAGATGTGCGATGTGCGAGAAAACGGGAAGCGGCCCGATGAGAAGCCAGGAGACTGCTGCAGCTCAGCACCTTGCTCTGCTTCCTGAACATGGAAGGCCCAGTGTCATACACGCTGTCCCCCCAGAACCGGTCTGATCCTCATGGGACAAAGGGCCTTGTGCTGTCACAGAAAGAATCTGGAAGGCCTGTCCGAAGGGAAACCTGATCTTGTGTGTTTAGAAATCAAATACAGAATTTCAAACAAGGGGAGCCCCAGATTAAGAGGAATACAAAGTAGCAGAACCTGGAAGGCCTGAAGAGTCATGGAATTTGTTCAGACACCCTAAGGATCCTCTTTGTTACTTGAGTTTTTAGCTTGAAGGATATGTCATTGCAGATTCTAATGGCTATTAAGGGCTGGTTCCTCTTAAATACCAAAGCCAGTTTTGAGTGTTCTAGAAAAATAAAATTTTATTATGTATCTTGTCTTAGAAGCTACTTAGGCATAATTTTAGCAGTCTGTTAAAAGAATATGGCTAACAGACAATTTTATTTTTCATCAAGATTTAGTAAAATACCATGATGTATAGGAACCAAGACCATCAGATGTCAACACAGTGACCCTCCCTTTGTAAGAGTGGACAAGGGCATACATCCCCAGCTGTTCAAAAGCCTGCTGTTGGTCACGTGAAAGGGTATCATCAGTCCACTGCCCAGTACTCTGCAGGAAAGGAGTGTGTGTAAGAATGGTTAGGATTCAGATAGATGTTTTCTCCAGTGAAAAGTGGAAACACTGAATCACTGTGGAAATAACTATATAAAATAGAATGTATGTTTTGTTTGTTTTTGTAGTGCTGGAGATCTAAGCTAGATCTAAGCTTCATGCATGCTGGATAAGTGCTCAACCACTGAGCTGCACTCCTCCTCCTAGAATATGTTCTTTTTAGTCTGTTTCAGGCCCATCTGACCAGCATCTCCTTTCTACTCACTGTATTGCCCTGCTACAATAATGGGTTCCATTTATTCAAATGGAACCCATCTTTTCACTGTCAGTCACTAATTCCCATTTCTCCTTGCCATACAGCCTAAATTCTGTTGTCAGTTTTGGTACCAGGATCAGATTTACGACTCTGCTGCTGCCAGGAAGGCACTGTGCTGAGCTAAAGCCCTGCCCCATGTTGTCAGTTAGTAAAGCTCTCTCTTAATCCTCAAGACTTTCTGACTCCTCTCACTTAAACTTTTATCCTTAAATTTAAAGGTGAGCTGATGTTGAGCCAGGTCTTGAATAGAAACAAGGATGAGGTGGAGAAGAGCCTGAGGGGACTTTGCACAGAGAAGCTGGGCTGAGTCTTGGGGGCAGGAGGAGAGAGCACAAAGCTACAACAGAGCCTTGGGTTGCTGCAGAGGCGGCCAGGCCTTGTAATTGGGATGTGTAGTAGTTTGCATGTAATTCTGACATGGTTGCATGTGTCCTCTATTTTACTATTTTTAGTTTTTATGCCTCTGTTCTTTTTCAGTCTTATTTTTGCATTTTTTTTGTTTGTTTGTTTGTTTTTTGTCTTTTTCCTTTTTATCGGTACCGGGGATCAAACTCACCACTGCCTGCTTGCAAGGCAGGCGCTTATGCCGCTGAGCTAAATCCCCAGCCCCTCACTGAGTATTTTTAGAACTTGTTTTATCTATTAGATTTTTAGCCATGTCTCTGTGCACTGATTTTTGTGGTTTCACTTTCATCCTTAAAGCTCACTGTTTTGCTTTTTGAGATAGGATCTTGCTATGTATCCGACTGGGCTTGAACTCACTAAGTAACCCAGGCTGGCTAGGCTTAGCCTTAGATTTTCAGTTCTTTCCATAAACCCAAGGCCGCTTTCCTCATTGGAAATTCAGGGAAGCCTGGGATCATGATTTAGACCTTCAACTCCCTGAGGACAGAAAGACCTTCCTTCTCACCACAGCACCAATAGCCTAGTAGGTTTAAAAGACCCTTGAGATTCTCTTTTGGAACAAAGTGGGACATAAATCCAAGTCTTGACAGCTGGTATGAGTGACAAGGGCCACCCACACAGTCGTGCAGCTGAGACCCCAAAAGCTGCAGCAGTGCTTCTTGGGAGGATGCTGACTTTCCCCCAGGCCTGTCATGGGGCTATCCCCAAAAGCGGCTGTGGAGGAAAGGGAGAGGTGAGGGGTCCCCACAGTCAGCACCAGCAGGCCTACCCCAAGTTCCCATTAGGCACCCACAGCACAAAGCTGTCCTGTCAAGACAGCTGGCCAGCTCCTCAGTGCTGGCCACAGACGGAACTGCCCTTGTTGGAGCAGATCTAAAGGGAAGATTCGGGACTTAGGACAAAAAGATCTGGATTCCACAGGCTGCCTTACAGTAAGTGGTGTGAAATTTTTTACACTTCAGTTCAACTTCCATTGTGCACCTGGCCTCCTCTAGAGAGCATTGAGACGAGTGGGACACACCATACACACTTCGGAATCTTAACAGACTCCTAGCAGCCTGGTGGAAGTGGAAGGAGTTCGTAAAAATAAACTTGAGGATAGCATTTATCCCTTCTCTGCCAAAAGTGAACTTCCTTAGCTTAAAAATGTTCCTCATGCTTGGTGTTTGTTTTGAAAATGGGGATTCACTGTGCTGTTCCATTCATAGGCTCAAGTGATTCTGCCTCAGCCTCCCAAATAGCTGGACTCCACATTTGCCACTGTCCCCATGCTTTCTTGCCTACCATTGATCTTTAATGAAGAATGCTTGAACAAATGTCACCAGCAGAATCTGTGAAAGGGCAACATTTTGTATTTGCTGGAAAAATAAATATGGATTTTCAAAGAACAAATGCAAGTTTTGAGTCTCAGGAAAGTGGAGTAGATGCACTGCTCTCTTTCATCCAGCTGAGTACAGCCAATATCCCTAAGGTGACATAGAAAATAAACCTTAAGACTAGTAGATCAAGCCAGGGATGGTGGCTCACCCTGTAATCCCAGCACTCAGGAGGCTGAGGCAGGCAGATCGTGGAGTTCAAAACCAGCCTGGGCTACGAGTTGAGCTCAAGGCCAGCCTGAACTGCATAGTGAGACCCTGTCTCAAAAAAACCAGAAACCAAACAAAACAATAAAAAATTACAACAGACTAACAGATCAAGAGAAGATGCCAAGACCAGCAGAGACCTCGGAACACAAGCAAGCAACATAGCAGAAAGTTCCTTGACCTTTTCTTTTGCTTCATATAACCGAGGCTGGGTACTGTAGTGCTGACAATGTAGAAATGCCTGAGCTGCACAGCAAGAAGACCCTGACTGACGACACACACACACACACACACACACACACCATATGAAGAGAACTTGTAAGAGAAAAGATAATAACACCAGCATGCTACAAATCTCAGAATCAGACCGAGCATGGTGGCACATGCCTTATAATCCCAGCACTTGGAAGGCTGAGACAGGAGGATCATGAGCTCAAGGCCATCCTGGGCTACAAAGTGAGTTCTGCATAGCAAAACCCTGTTTCAAAAAGAAAAGAATTAAAATAAAAACAATCTCAGAATCATATGACAAAAATTTTAAAGCAACCAATGATGCTTCAACTAAGTAAATCTGAACACACTTGAAACAAAAAATGTGTCAGCAAAGATTATATGGAAATGTATAAAAACAATTGAAATAAAACTCAGTGGATGACCTTAAAGCAAAATGGAAAGAATCCATAAACTTGAAGATACAACAATAGAAATTATCCAACCTAGGCAATAGAAGATGGACTGAAGAAAAGAAAGATCAGTGCCTCAGGGCCTGTTGGAATTAGAACAAAACGTCACATATCTCAAATTCCAGCAGAAAAGAGAGAAGGTGGGGGTGAAATCATGGCAGAAGAGACCCCAAATGTGGCAAACGATAGTACATCTGCAAATTCAAGAAACAGGAAAAACCCAAAGAAATTTACACCGGGACACAAATTTTTTTCCACTGCTAAGGACTGAACCCAGGCAGGCCTCGCACTTACTGGGTATGCTCTATCACTGAGCTACAAGCCAGAGCCAAAAAAAACTTTGAAAATGAGACAGGCAGTGCACAGACAGAAGGGATTCAAATAACAGCAGCAGAGGCAGAAAAAAGCACAACGCTGGTTACAACACTGGTTGGTTTTGTGTAGTGTGATGAGGTTCAGGAGACAGGAAATACCTCACGTTAGAATGGAGCTGAAAGGACTCTTTCCAGACTCAGTCTCGCAGTTCCTCCCCCAGCTGTCCTTCACTCCTAGTGCGTTCAGTTGCCTGTTTCTCTTATTCCACATCAGTCTTTTGGGCTTTTTTCCCCCCACTTACCAGGAAACTTCTCACCATGATTCCAAAGCTCTTTTCTGCTCCCTTTATCACTTAACTCCCTAAGGGTAGTGACTTCCAATAGCATTTATTCATTTTAACTGGTTTTGTTTTTTATATGTTGTTGAAATTCTATTAGTGATTCTGTGTGTGTGTTTTTAAGAGGAAGTTTCACTATGCAGATCAGGCTGGCCCTGAACTCTCAGTGATCCTGCAGCCTCAGCCTCCCCAGAGCTGGGATTACAGGGGTGCACCATCACAACTGGCTATGAGTGATTAATCTGTATACAGTTTGTAGCGCTTATTACATGTATAAATGCATTCATATTGCTATATGTAGTTATATATCGTCATCATGATTGCTTTACAGAATGGGCATTCTCTGATTTATTTACCTTTTCTATATTATTCGAATGTTCTAGTGTTTTCTAGTTTGGGGCTATTACAGCCAGCACTGTTTTCAGTTCATACATACATGCACTGTGGTCAGATGCCCAAACTGCCCAAGCTGTTCCACATCCTTACCAATACTTACTGTCCATCCTTTTCATTTTAGCTATTGTCGTTGGTTTGTAATGATGCTGGTAATTTTTTTGATGTTTTTTAAAAACATGTAACACTACGTTCCCCAGTGACCTTAAATAAAAATAAAATTTGCTTTTATGGCCGGCATGGTTCTGTGGTCTCCCTGTAACCTACCCGTTTCCACCTACATCCTCTTCCTGCCTGTCATGCTGACCTCCCAAACTGTTTGCCACTGTCCTCCTGCGCCCTCCCGCCTTGCTCAGGACGAGCTCTTAGCCCTTCGTCCTTACTTCGGATACCAATGCAGGAGCCTCTCCGTTAGGTCCAATCCCACTATTGCACGTTCTTGAGCCTCATTTCAGCTTCACTTTAATATTTTCCTTAGTGCAATTTCATTTCTCAACTCTTGTAATCTGGGCTCTACCAGTGCAAGAGTGTTTCCTCATCACTGCACACAACACAGCCTGGCAGAGTTGGAACTCAGTATATCTGAAAGAAAAAATGACAGAAATTTAATGCAGTGTCTTTTGTCTGTAACAAATTTTGTTAGGTTAAATATTGTATTTGATATGCACTGAGGAACACTGTCATAACTGAAACTATTGATAAAATGCTGTTTGTCTGTGTAAGTAAGAACTGCCTTCTACACCCTTCAGAAATGCTCGGTACACATCCTGAGTCATGGCTGTTTGTAGTTTTTTAAATGAAGGACATGAGAATCTTTCATTTCACTATCCTCAATCCAGTTGGAGAAGTAGGTATTAAAATTGCGCTCAAGGATGTACTCTCTGAAAATTTCCATCTTTTTAGTCAAAGGATTTAATACACACATGCACACACAACCTACTGCCTTGTTGCAACTTTGGTGCTTATGATCAGAGCGCCGAGGCTGTCTGACTTGACTGCTTCACCAGTGCCTTAATCCATTTTGTGCTGCAGCAGGGCAGACTGGGTACATAATGAACTGAAATGCCTCAGTCTGGAAGGTCCAAGATGACGGATGGGCTGGCAACATGGTGAGGATATTTTTGCTGTGTTATCTCTTGGGAGAAGGCAGAAGAAGTGCAAAGGGGTAGGGGAGAATGAATTTGCAGATTGGAGCCCCTTTTACAATTGGGATTAATGTATTCATGCATGGCACTGTTATCTAAAATACCCACTGCAATCTGCCTCCCAACAGTTACACTGGGGACTAGAGTCCATTTTCAAACCACAATAGCAGTTACTGCAGGATCCTTACCTTCACTAGGCCTGAGCCTTGCAGTGAGTGACCTCTGAACCTGTTCTGTTTCAGAGCCTGTCCCACTGTGAGCTCATCACAGACGATGGAATCCTGCACCTCAGCAATAGTACTTGTGGCCACAAGAGGCTGAAGGTACTGGAGTTGGATAACTGCCTCATCAGTGACGTGGCCCTTGAACACCTGGAGAACTGCCGCAGCCTAGAGCGCCTTGAGCTATATGACTGCCAGCAGGTCACTCGTGCAGGCATCAAACGGATGCGGGTAGGTGTGGCCAGGAGAGTGGTCCTGCCTGGCAGTGATTGCTGAGTAACAAAGGACAGATACATCAGGAAACATTATCCACTTTCTTTGTTCTGTCCTAAGCAAACAGTTGTGCTAACCAATCTGGTTTACACAGGTGTCTTTTAAGTACCTCTTAGACCCCACTGTGGAAGATTCAACTCATTTAAGATGGAGGTTCCATCTTAATGACTAATCTTGAATGATTCATTTAAGATGGAGGTTCCATATAGTCTGGTAATCAGCAGCAATATAAGGAAGATCTCTATCCCGGGCAGGCAACTTAATTAAGGTCGTTGCCAGTGTTGGCTAATTCTCAAGCAAGAGTACATAACAGAATGTTGCTTTTTGTTTCCGCATGTAATTTTCACTTTCATTTTAAGTTTAGGCATGTGTACCCCAAAGCAAAAAGGGCTGGCTATGTATCACTTTATGAGATTCCACCTGTCTTTAGAAGGTAGTAAAGGTTGGATGGTGGAGAGAGTGGCATGGGAATGTCACAGCAGCAGCTCTGGTTACTGTTAGAACTCCGTAACACTAAGGTGTAAGAGATTCTGAAAACTACAGGTTTTTTGAGTATGAGGACCATAATTCTTAAAATGCTGGGGTAAACACTAGTCCTTTTCCCTTCTACTTCCAGGCTCAGCTCCCTCATGTCAAAGTCCACGCCTACTTTGCTCCTGTCATTCCACCCACAGCAGTGGCAGGAAGTGGACAGCGACTATGCAGATGCTGTGTCATTCTCTGACAGGAGCTGCTCGGGCCCCAGGGATAATAGTTTCTCCAGGGATAATAGTGTCTCTCCTAGAGAGGACCAGTCTTCTCGGCTACACCACTGTCACCCTGATCTATTGATTCTCCTTTGGGAAAAAGCATTTACAGGTAAAATACTTTGATGTGGACTGCAGTAACTGATGATACTTCTCACCTTTGTTTTGCTGTGATGCAACCAGATCAAAGCCTTGTATCAGTTAACATGTGGCAAGGACGACCTCAGTGCAGCCATGAGCACACAAGAAACCTGAGTCCCTTAAGAGGTGGGTCCCAAAATACAAGTCCTCACCTGGGCTTTATCAGCATCTCTCAGATGAACTGTCAGTGTTAGCACAAGCTGAGCAGAAAGAATAACCTGCCTACCTACCTAATCCTTAAAAGCCAATGAATGGGCCACTTTAATTCACAATGATTCCATTTCAATAAGCAGGACTTTTTCACTTTAAAGATTAAGTAACTTTATTCAAATGACTGTACTGCAAATTCATAATGGCTGATAGTTTTATATGTAGAAGGTAATGTGGAAGGCACCTTAATCAGTTTCCCTGAGACATCAAAGAAAAGAGGACTCTAAGCTGGTGGAGGAGGCACTTCATAGCTCTGTGTCAGTTTGTCATAACCACCTCTGAGGACCAAAATGTAAACAAAAGCAACTCAATCTGCATTGGCTGATGGGAAAGGAAAAGCTCTGGCATACCCTATAGCACACAATGCATTTTTGTTTAAGAAAAAGCTAATTATGTCCATCCTTTTTAGGAGACCTTGCAGAAACAGAATTAAGGCTTAAGTCACTTATATTATTAAAAATAATGAATGGATGCATGCAGAATGGATGTAGTTCTTTAAAGTTTATTTTAAAACTTTAGAAATCAGGTTACACCAAAACTATTTTAAAAGTTTTACAACACTTAAAACTCAGATCAGTAAAGTGTTGGCACCTTTTAGACTCTTAAATCATTGCAGTGTTTAAGAGTTTAATGCAGAGGCTTTATTGCTATGATCTTATGGCAGACAACTCTGAGCAAAAACACTTTCCAAGTCCAGACCTTCCTGATGTTATGAGATGATCTGCTGTCTGCTGTGGCTGACTCTTGCTCTGTCCTGTCCACTTGTGTGATCTTTACTCAAGATTAGATCAGTCATCCTCCTCATTGAAATTGTCAGGAGTGGCTGGTCATGCTAACAACCACAATATAGACTGAAGGGCCAAGAACTCATTAGAAGTAAAACAATAAAAACAAGACATTTTCTATGACTTTAAGGGCAATTTTAGATGCATTTGAGGGACACACTATCTCAGCTGCATTCTAGACAGAAAGGGCAAATACATACCTCCATACAATGACCTAGCAATATTCTCAAGAGTTACCATTAAAAGACTGATTCTATTGCTTTCTGATATGCTCTAGTATTCTCTGATCTTAAACTTGTATGGATATCACAGTTCTTTAAGCAAATGTTTATACCACTGTTGGGATTAGAAGGTGACTAATGTATGAGTAAACAAATGAGTAATGATTATGAATTAGTTTCTATTAAAAAATTAATGACTAGTCTCTTCTAATCTCTCTGAGCTAGAAAACAGCCTATTACAGCCACTGGACTTGATCACATGATCTTATTTACAAAATAAGAAAATCTCTTCTAAGAAACCTCATCAAGTACGGGACAGTTCCTAGAATAATCTGTCCTTATATTAGCTTTGAAAAAAGAAATTAAGAACATGGGAAAATCACAGAAGCCTAATCTCTTACATTTGGACTGGGATAGGTGTGAGGCAGACATAGAGAATCCCTTGATTTTGTGACACAAGCAAGAACTGAGATTTTAAATGACAGACACAATTTGCAAAACAATCGGAAAACATTTATTATATTGAAATGTGTACATCCTACTATTAAAAAAACAAAGTAGCAAATTTGCTGGTGCCATAATTTATTTAACCTGTTTCTCTGGACAGACTATAAATGTTCTAATGCCTCTGGGTGTAATTTCAAGTCTGATGAGCTTGTACTTTTTACCCCATTTCTAAAACCTGATGAGGAGTTCAAAATAGCACACAGCATTAAATGACATTTACTGTTCCATAAATCATGAATCCCAAAAAGGAATGCTAAATAGACAAGCAAAACTTTCTGAAACAATTAAGAGAAGTTCACTTCTTTCCCAAGTGACTTAGAGAAAATGTGGTCACACACAAGCAAAGGGAGGACAGAAAGGCAAGCTCTTCTCCTGTGAGTCTACAGGAGTCACAGGTATTTCCAAACTGACTGCTGAGACAAGTAATCAGCCACCTTTACAGCTTTGTCACCTGGGAGAGAATTCAAACTTAATCATTCCTATTTCCATCTCAACATGGGTGAGGATCAAATAGTACATCCACAGCTAAAACTGCTAAGTGGACAGAGATGCTAGAATTAAAATGGAATAAAAGGTGTTTATATTTTTTAATTAAGCCTTGATATACCACTGGTTTCAAAGACGCTTTCTAATGAATTTGAGGATGCTTTGGATGAAGGAGGTAAAGGCAGCAGGAGGAAAAGGGGCAAACAGTAGATTCCCTTTGGAAAGAAGTATGCTAACAGACACACATTTGATAAGACACACTATTTTATAGAAACCATTATTTGGTATATTAAAAGCTTCTAAGTCACCAGAATATTAATCCATGATTGTACGGAAGCTCATTATTTGAAGTGAGACAAGAGATTTTTATGGTACATTTTAGTGTGATGAAACTTAGTGTTTTCATGTATAATTTCATCTTGTTCACAACACAGATCCCTTAACACCAAGTCAGAAGCTATCAACAGTAACACTGTTCCCTCTTATGTCACCAATT